TTTCTTTTTTTTTATATTACATCTTTGATGCTGCCTCAAGCTGTACTGTAGCCTCCATTGCTTTGCCTGCCCCTGAGCTCAGCAGCGCCGCTTCCTTTTCATACATTTCTTCTTTTAGTGCTCTAAAAGTATAAAAAAACAAAAAAAAATAAAATAAAAAACAAACAAAATTAATTAAACAAATAAACAAAGAAAAAAAAAGAGGGGAGAAACACAGGCGATCGAGGTTATCGTGTTTGTATGCAAAAACAACATTCTGTATTTCTTTTTATTTATTTGTATTTTTTTTTGTTTATTTAATATACAAAAATATAAACTGCTGATATAAATAACTCTTCTGTTTTTTGTTTCTATGCTTAGGCACGCTAAACCCTAAACCCTAAAGTGCTAGAGAGAGCATAAAACCCTAAGCCCTTAAACCCTCAGACCCTAAACCCTTAAACCCCCAAACCCTCAAACCCCCAAACCCTCAAACCCTCAAACCCTCAAATCCTTAAACCCTCAAACCCTCAAACCCTCAAACCCTGAGAATACCTGTAGAGAGCCTTGGTGGCCCCCCTAAAGGAGCAGCTGGCGGCCAGAGCCTGAGCCCTCTTCAGTACCTCCCCTGCCGCACAGAACAAACAACAGACAGTCTTACCCTATCCATATATATATATATATATGTATATATATATATATATATATATATATATTTAAATGCTTTTTGTTTCTGGTGTTCCTGAGGTGTGTATACAGCAGAGAAAGTGTGTATTTGCGTTGCTATTTGAAATAATTTAAAAATAATTTAAAAATAATTTAAAAATAATTTTAAAATAATTTAAAAATAATTTAAAAATAATTTAAAAATAATTTAAAAATAATTAAAAAATAATTTAAAAATAATTAAAAAATAATTTAAAAATAATTTAAAAATAAATTAAAAATAATTTTACTTTGTTCACAAACGGCGTCAACTATTCTGTTTTTGTAGCATTCAGCCCCCCCCCATCTGCGGGCCCCCAGTATGGTGGGGGTCCAGAGGCTGCGATCTATTTTGCTTTTTATCAGTGCACACATACCTAAATTAAAAAAAAAAAAAAAAAAAAAAAAAAAAAAAAAAAAAAAAA